CCAATTGTGGCCTTGGGTCCACCACAATCCACTGGCTGGGAAATTGGTTCCGTTGTCGGACCCAGAGGGTGGTGATTGATGGAAGTCAATCATCATGGTGCCCTGTGACCAGTGGGGTCCCCCAAGGTGCTGTCCTTGGACCCATATTGTTCAACATCTTCATTAATGATGTGGACACTGGAGTCAGAAGTGGACTAGTTAAGTTTGCCGATGACACCAAACTTTGGGGCAAATCCCGGGACATAAACTCCTGCAAGACCATTTCATATTGGACATAAGGAAGAATTTCTTTACTGTCCGAGCCCCCAAGGTCTGGAACAGCCTGCCATCGGAGGTGGTTCAAGCACCTACATTGAACACCTTCAAGAGCAAATTAGATGCTTATCTTCTTGGGATCCTATGACCCCAGCTGACTTCCTGACCTTTGGGCGCAGGGCTGGACTGGATGATCTTCCGAGGTCCCTTCCAGCCCTAATGTCTATGAAATCTATGAAATGTTTGTGATTTTGAAAATTTCAATATTGAAATGTTTCACAAAAATGGAATTTCCATCCTCCTCCCAACTCAGTCATTTATGTTCTAGTCCAGGGGTGCCTAATCCAGCTAGAGTGCAAGGCCAGGCTGCAGGCCAGATCTGGAGCATGGGGCTGGCCCACAGAGCTGGAATCTGGTAGCTGCAGCATCAATTACTGCAGCTGCAGGAGCCACCACTCCACCTGCTGCCAAATTTCCAGCCCTATGGGAAGCCCTACAAGCCAAATGATGTGGTTCTGCACTGTGGATTTAACCTGTTGAGCTCCACATAGATGAAGACATTTAGTGGTAGGTCCAGCAGCAGCAGCATTAAGTGCCCTGGCTCCAGGAGCTATGGTAATTAATGCTGCCTCAGTTCACTTCACTGTCAAATTTCTGGACCCACAGGCTGGATAGCATGGTTCTGTGGGTGCCATTCAGCTCACAGGCTGCCTCTTGCTCACTTGATCTAGTCAGTGTTCAGAGATCATCATCAGGACCTCATTCAGTTGAATGCCTCATAACAGGGGTGTTAAACTCATCCAATCCCAGGGGCTGGATGAGGGGCACAGGGCTGAATGGGCCCACAGACCAACCCCACTGCCAGATCCAGCCAGCAGGGCCAGCCTGATATGGGTGCTATGTACAGTGTACTCTTTGGCCTGGTCCCGTGTACTGCCTGTAGTGTGCATGTTGGCACCAGCCCTGCACACTGCATGCAGCATATACTTACCTGAGCCCTGCAAGTGGCACACAGTGTATGGGACTGGTCTGGGGCTCACGCTACACAGGCATCTGCACTAGACTAGCACTTCATGCTGGCTCTGGCATGTAGGGTTGATTTATGGGTCCAATCTGGACTGCAGATCCAGCATTCAGGGCCTCTCAACACTGGTGTTGTATATAGCGCATGCCCCAGACTGGCACTATGTGCCAGCTCCAGCCCCCGTACCATGTGCAGCATGAACCTGGCAGGCTATATGTGCCACAAGCAGTGCACAGGGCTGGGGCCAGCACACACTGCATGCAGCTTGTGAATCCAGGACCCACAGGGAGCACTGCAGGCTGGATAATAGAGCTCCATGGCCCAATCTTTAACACCCCTGCCTTGCAAGAACAACCAGTAAGTCCCAATCACTAATGAAGCCACAAAAGGCAATTAGAGATGTCATAAGGCAGTGGTAAGTTAATACAAGAGAAAACAAAAGAAAAACTTGCTGTCTACTTCTTGCAGTCTTATTTTTCAAAGGTAAGTAAGTATTCTCTGTCAACTGCTCATGCTATACACAAGTAAATAAAGCAGGTTTACCATATTTCTCATAGACACATTTCTTTTTACTTTTTTGAAAAAGGTGAGGGGATTTTTTATTCTGACCTAATTTAAAAAAAACTTTGGCCATGCACTACGCCACAGGTCACTGGTACTAAGATGTGATAGGGAAGCATTGAAACAATGAGATTTGTTTCCCTGTAAGCTACTTGGAATAGGGATCTCCTCTCTTTTTTTGTATGAAACTAATATGCTTATTTCAGTCCTTTTATAAACAAATGAGAATTCATCTTTTCTCCACTGTGGGGTAGACTGGGGATGCACAATGAGGAAGGAAGGGAAGGGAGATTGTTCATACTCTTGTGGCCCATGAACAGCCAGCAGGTTTTGCGTTGTGTGTATTGGAGGAGCTACTAGCAATATGATCCCCTGGGAACAACTCATTAGAAAGTGGCCATACCCAGGTTTCTAACGAGTAGTATTCTGCATAAGCTGAAAGGTATCACAGCTTGTTGTCCTCACATAATAGGAAAGCTCCATGAGGCACTTACAGTGCCCTTCCTATGAGCAGTGAGTAAATGCCATTTTCTATCCCAAATGAGTATTTATATGGCACTGAATAAAATCCTAAAATTTTGTCCCAGCATGCAATGTGTTGAGTAGAAAACCTGTGATGGATTATCAGGGATGCTCCTATATCCAGGGTGGCCAAAATTACATCCAGGGAATTATCAGGGATGGTCCAAAATTATATCCGGGGAGTTATTTCTACTCTGCACATGTGTGACTCAGATGAGATTATGACCCATTGTGCTTAAGTGAAGATGCATTTCTTTCTCTTATCAAAAACTAAGAAACTAAAGAAACACCTAATTATCTTAACTAGGGCCAAATTATGTTCTCAGGTACACACTTGCAGCTCCAGTTCAAGCCTCTGGGAAGTACACAAATGCCTGTGAATAGAATTGGGCCAAAGGAAGTTTGACTTCCTTTCCTCCAAATGTAAAATTTTCTTACCTTTGGAGTAGCAACATGCAGATGCATCCCAAGTTTAGCAGCACTCATCATGATGGAGTTGAGCACATTGTTTCCATCACCAATCCAGCTTATGGTAAGCCCATTCAGGTGGCCATAGTGTTCCTACCAAACAAATCACAATGTTGCAATTACAAATTGGAGAATTGAGCAAGCAAGTGAGAATGAGTGGGTTTAGTGCAGGACTGGGCAAAAGATGGCCTGTGGTGCTCTGCAAAGGGCCAAGCCCTACCTGGGCCAGACTGCGCCACACTCCAGCCTGCACTTGCCCTACATCTGCTGACAACATTGCCCCAACCCCAGCCAGCATGCACAGCTTCCTGGTGGACGCCACTACTGCAGCTGCCCAAGTATTGCTTGGTTCCCCCCATCTCCAGTGGTTCCTCCTCCTGCCCCTGCTGTGTCACTTCAAGCAGCAGGTAGCATGGGAAAGCAGCAGTGACCATGGAGAAACCCTCTCACATGCACACCCCATACCATCCCCTCGCCACTCCCCACCAACGCACAAATAATATACAAGAGTAAGACTTTACTTTGAGCCATCATGCAATCACCTATATAAACACTACTAAAAAAACCCAACAAATCAGGGCAAAAACTACTTTTTGAAATGAAATTAAAATACGTTTTAGTAGATGTTTGATTTTTAATACACAACTTGCCTTTCATCTATAATTTGTTAAAATCATATCTTCTGAACAATTTTATGTGTGCAGCTCCTGACAATTCACCACAACTCCTTAAGTGGCATGCTGCCAAAATAATTGCCCATCCCTGGCTTAACGGCTGACAAGAGGCAGATTCAGTGTAGCTGAATTAAATTTTACAGAAGGTGCAGAATTGCTTTTGATTGAGCCTGTATGCAGCAGCTGCAGTTCACTGAATGAATGAATTCCTTGTCTAACACCCAGACCAGAGTGTTACTGCTTTGCCTGAACTCAGAGTCTGATTTCAGTGTTTTTACAGTAAAAATAAACAAACAAAAATATATATAACAATATGTATAGGAGTATGAAGTGTTTTTAAAAGGTAAAGGGTAGACTTTTCAAATGCTTCTTGCTGGTGTAGGTGCAGAAGTTATATTGAAAGTCGATGAAAGTGAATACTCCTAAGACACTTAGGCCAAGTCTGTGCAGTAAACTTCTGGTGCTTAGCAGCAGTTCCCTCAATCCATGAAGGCTTGTGCTCTATTACTTAGTTAGTCTATGTTGGTGCGTATCTACTCTGACTTCTGACTGACTTCAGACTAACACAGCTAACTACTTCGCACAGGTTAGAATCATAGAAAATTAGGAGTAGAAGGGACCTCAGGAGATCATCCAGTCCAACACCCTGTTCAAAGCAGGACCATCCCCAACTAGGTCATTCCAGCCAGGGCTTTGTCAAGCCGGGAAAGAGTTCCCTGCTAAGCCAAGCTGGTTGCCTGCCATATTTACTGTTCTTCCTGCATCTTTGGATGGTATGTTCCTGGGCCCTCAGTACAGTTTATTTAAAATACAACCAGCTCTCATGGATGCCTTTCCCCCTCAGACTGGCCTCCCAGGGGTTTGCTGCCCATCAGCTCCCTTAGGGAGTCAAAATCTGTTTTTCTGAAGTCCAGGGTCCTTACTCTGCTGCTCTCCTTTCTACTTTTTGTCAGGACCCTGAACTCAATCATCTTGTGGTTGCTGCTGCCCAAGTTGCCATTCACTTCTACATCCCGCACCTATTCTTCCCTGTTTGTGAGCAGCAGGTCAAGAAAAGCATGGCCCCTAGTTGGTCTCTCCAATATCTGCACCAGGAAGTTGTCTCCAACATTTTCCAAAAACTTCCTGGATTTCCTGTGCACTGCTGTATTGCCCTCCCAGCAGATGTCAGGGTGATTGAAGTCCCCCATGAGAACCAGGGCCTGTGATCTCGAAACTTCCACTAGTTGTCTGAAGAAAGCCTCATCAAGGTCATCCTCTTTGTCCAGTGGTCTACAGCAGACACCCATCACATGTTACCCACACTGCTCTCCCCTCTAACCTTAACTCAGAGACTTTCAACAGACCTATCTCCAGTTTCATACTGGAGCTCTGGGCAATCATGCAGCTCTTTTACGTACAGTGCAACTCCTCTTCCTCCTCTTCTGCTCTGCTTGTCCTTCCTGAACAGTTTGTACCCATCCATGATAGTGCTCCAGTCATACGAGCTATCCCACCAAGTCTCTGTTACTCCAATCACGTCATAGTTCCTTGACTCTGCGAGGACTTCCAATTCTTCTTGCTTGTTTCCCAGGCTCCATGCGTTCATGTGCAGACACCTGAGGTAAGTACTTGATTGCTCTGCTTTCTCAGGAAGAATAAGCAGGCCTCCACTGTTGCTCCCTTCTGCTTCTGCTTCCTCCACTTACCACCTCCCTGCTTCCCCACTTACCTCAGGGCTTTGATCTCCATCCTCCTGCAAACCTAGTTTAAAGCCCGCCTCACTAAGTTAGTGAGGCTGTCTACAAAGATGTTCTTCCCCCTCTTCTTCAGGTGGATCTCATTTCTTCCTAGCAATTCTTCTTCTTGGATAACATCCCATGATCAAATAAGCCAAATCCATTCTGGCAACACCACCTGCTCAGCCATGCATTGATCTGCAGGATGCATCTGCTTCTGCTTGGGCTCTTCCCCTTGACCAGAAGGATTGAGGAGAACACCACCTGTGCCCCCAGCCCCCAATTCACGCTTGCACCCAGAGCCCTGTAGTCACTCTTGACCTGGTCAGGGTCACTCCTGGCACTATCACTGGTGACCACATGGATGAGCAGCATGGGGTAGTAATCAGAGGGTTGGATGAGCCTCACTAATCCTTCCCTGACATCTCAGATCCAGGCTCTAGGCAAGCAGCAGTCTTCCCGGGACTACAGGTCACACCAGACGACAAAGTTAACCTAGGGGAGGCACACCTAGGCCACGGGTCAGGGAGGATCTAGTTAGGGAACTTCTGGAGGGACTAGAAATAACGGTCACAAGCTGGCAGAGGGTAAATTCAGATTAGACATCAGGAGGCGCTACTTCACTATCAGGGCGGCTAGGGTCTGGAACCAACTTCCAAGCGAAGTGGTGCAGGCTCCTACCCTGAGGGTCTTTAAGGCGAGGCTTGACAATCACCTTGCTGGGGTTGTTTGACCCCAGTACTCTTTCCTGCCATGGCAGGGGGTCGGACTTGATGATCTGCTCAGGTCCCTTCCGACCCTACTAACTATGAAACTATGACTTCTTCTTGCTGCCAGAGGTCACAAGCCTCCAGCTTCCTGGGAGTCCATGCCCTCTTCCTTTTCTAGCACCACCTCAGGCCATCCTTCTTTCACAGATCTAGAGGTTTCTTACAGCATGGAATCAATGAAGTCCTCATGGAAGAGGATGCTTCAGAGCCTTGCTACCTCCTCCTGTAGCTCTCTTGCCTTCTCCCT